AATCAGGACCATGCATTGAGAGGACCTGCCCCCCTGCTCAGATATAGACCATAGGTATCTCAGTCTACATGTGGGTACCCTAGTAAGAGGAGAAGGGGCTGCCTCTGTCATGAACTCACTTTCTTTCTCTTTGATCATCTCCCCCTGGGAGGGTACCTTTACTAGGTCACAGAGAAAGATAGTCGTGATGAGACATGATAGACTAGGGTCAAATAGTAGGGGAAGAGAACCTTCTTTATCAGTGGACTAGGGGAGGGACATAGGGAAGGAAGAAGGAGAGAGGGTGGGACTTCGAGGAGATGAGGGAGGATGAGGGAGGGGGCTACAGCCAGGATGCAAAGTGAGTAAGTTGTAATAAATAATAATAATAATAATAATAATATTTTAAAATAAATTCATGGGCTCTTTTCACAGGAATTGTTGCTACATTTGTGGTATGTGTGTGTGTTCCTATATGGCATTAAAAAAAAACTTATAATGGGTTTTGCCCTTCTTTTTACCTGTTATACTCAAATTGAATGTATCATTTTATATGTAGAATTCTCAAATAAGTAGAATTACTGAGACTAAAAAAGACATGTTACTCCTTAAAATTATCAGCTTTCCCTGAACTCAGAATTTTTATCATGATACTATTTTTGACTTTTATTTTAGTATGTGTATGTGTGTGTGTACAGAGGCCAAAAGAGTGTATTGGAACCCCTCTTGAACTAGAGCCACAGGTTGTTGGGAATCACCTGATGTAGGTTCTGGGATCATAACTTGGGTCCTCTGGAAGAGTAGCAAATAGCATTAAGCACTGAGCTATCTCTCCAGACCCTCTTTCTAGTTTATATATCATGTTTCAGTGGTTTATCTGTAACACTATAAAAACACTCTAACTCTATAGGAAGTAGGCCGGCCATTAACTTGAGAGCTCAGCAAACCACTTAGCAAGGTCTCTCATAATATTCTGTCTTCTGAATGGTAGTACAATTAACATGATTAATAGCTGGCTGAAAACATATGCCAAAAAGTACCAATTAATGAACAGATATCACTCTGAAGGAGCTCTCCAGATGTTTAATAGCACTTTGCCCTTTGTGCAGTACTCACTGGTACCCATTACCAGTAGCTTGGATGAATACACTGAACAGTTATCAAATGTTTGAGTAATATCCAAGTGTATTAGAGCACAAAAATTCAGAATACAAACTACTGAAACATGCTAGAGTAATGATCTAAAAATCTACTTAGGTAAAAGTAATAGAAAGTTCTGTAGATCTTTGGTCCACAAAGATCTCCACTGCTCAGGAATAGAATACACAAATTTTATTGTGTAAATAACAACAAATGAATGTAACTATTAAAACAAGTCCATTAAATGCTGGGCAGCATTGTATGAAGTCTATATTTGATAAATAGTAAAAGAGCATAGGATCTAGCACTGGAGAATTAGGTCTAGAAAAGTTGCCATTCACAATAAAATAGACAGTTTTACCACTCCTTTTTGTCCCAGGTAAGGTGTACTTGGAATGGGGTCCAGGTATGAAACTTGTGGACAGATGGACAGACCCAGACAACTTCCAAAGACAGTGACCTGAATGAGTGAACAACTCAATCAAAAGCATAAATTGCAATGAGAGACAAAGTTAACTGACTATAGATACAGCGGATTCAAAGAGACTGTTGCTATATTCAGACACCTACTATGTGCTTCATGGCTTTCTGAATAGTTCCCAAACCATTGGCCTTACACTAGAGGACAGAAAGCAAAGAACATAGGCATGGGGTGGCCACTTGATGGAGATGTGAGCAATTTCAGTACAGACAGAAGGTTGGACTACAAGGCCTTTAAAAGGATAGTGCAATTGTATTTACAGGACAGTTTTCATGAAGCTATTGCTTCTATGTTCCGTATCAGTGTGGTCAAGGCTCTCCATTGTATTGGCTTGGGCTGGTTTCTAGCCTTAAAATATCTCTTCTGTCCAGCCCCTAGCCAGACCTTATATTTCTCCAGTCCTCCTCCTTCCACCAGTTTACTTTTGCTCACGACTTTGCTTAGTAATTTCTGTTCACCTTTAAAATGCCTGTTTTCCTAAGCCATCAAAGAAACGCAACAGGAAGTGTAATTTGTGAATTGTCTGGGGGAGGGTTAAGGAGGATTATGAGCTAGCCAAGCATCATTTCCTGGTTACCGATTAAAGTAAAGAAGGAATTCTAACATTTAGCGTTTAAGAGCTCCTGAGTTAGAGCTTTTGAAAAAGTCGAGGAGATGTAGAATCTCAGACCAGGCTTCAAACAGGAATCTAGCACACTGGTTAGAAAAATAGAGACCAAGGCGCCTTGCCTTATGCTGGTACTCAAAAGCAATTTACTCAACTGATGATTACTATGGTTCTCATTAAGCAGAATGAGTCCTGAACAGGTTGATGGGAGCTTTTAGTCAGTTCCAGATCGAGATAGGGAAGGTGCCTAGAGCAACCAGAGAAGCTGCCTACTTTTTACTGGACCTGGCCCAACCCGTTTAGTACCCATGTCACCCCCAGGAATCTTTTTTTTTTTTTTACAGCCTTCCATTAGGGGAAAACTGGCTAAAGGCCGGTTGCCAGGGACGCTTGCCATTAGCTCTTCAGGGCTGGGGTGAAAGAGGACACTTGGGGGAGGGGTCTGTGGCTTCTAACTGGCTAGGGCCAAAGGTTCATTTTCATAAATCTCCCCGAAGCTTTATGATTGGCTGGGGCAGGAGGCGTGGCGGTGGGGTGATTGCAAAGGCCCGAAGCTCTGGCCTGAGGACTTTTTCTTTCTGGAGTTACCCGGTGGGTGTGAGTTATTGTGTGGGCAGGGGGAGCTGGGAGGCCCGGTTCGGGAAGTTTTGTGAGCAGGTGCATGAGCCATCATCTGGCAGAGTTTAAAAAATGTGTAAGAACAGCAACTGAGAGTCAAGACACTGGAGGACCCAAACAGAGGAAGGAAATTGATCCAGAGGAAGGAAAGAGGCCAAAGGGAAGGGACTAGAGGCTTTCTTCCAGGCTGGCCTTCTTTTTAGAGTGTCATTCCTTTCGCAGGCAGTTTGAATTTCCGTTTTCTGTGAGCTGTTAATCACATTGTTGGTAGTAAGTAGCAGAGAAAATATATCAGGATTCCAGCATTTAATAACTCATTTTTATCAGGGTGCATACTTGAAATATTCAGAGGATCTGGGTCTGAGATGAGGTCAAAATACATTTTAAGTTATGAGAAAAATCAACTGATGGAAACCAGGTAATATATTTTTCCAAAACTCTCTTCCTTGGATCTCCTCTGACATACGGGATGAAGCTTGGACTGTTTTAAACTCTCCGGTGCCGAAGTGGTGGGGGTCCTCTCTGGTTCATCTTAACCCATTTCCTTATTTTTAAGGGTTCAGACTCTTCACATAAAATGCCTCTACATTACGATGAAGCCCTATACTAAGTACAAGTAATCTTTCTACTTTATAATGTACACAATGAGATTTTTACCTCCATTATCTCATTGAACCTAACAAAAATATTTGCCATGACCCAAGAAATTTCTTTTATTGCTAAAGAAACACTGGAAAAATTTTCTCATGCAGGAGATACTCTATTTTGTTGAACAAACGGAGGGTGGAAAAGTTTACAAGTCTTAGAGAAGGGGGGGGGGTGATTTTAATACTTCAGGTTTACATACTGCATCTTTCCCTTCTACATTCTTTGCACTGACCCCCTTAGCTCTGCTGGGCAGACAGTATTATTTCACTTTTAAAAGAACATGGGACACTGACGCATAAGGATGAAAAGTCCAGCTATAGCTGTAGTTCCAAATCAAACTGGCTGGAGGGGTCCTTGTCCATGAAAAAGTAACAAAAACAAAACAAAACAACAAAAAACATGTCTTATGATCTAGAACTAGAGGGAGATTCTCCAGACTGGGTTCTAGGATCACCTGGGACATTTTTGTCCGTTATCAGCTCTTGTTACACAAAACCAGATGTTTCTACAAAATTAGGAAGAAACCTGGTTTTTGGAAGACAGTACAGGTCCTTCAAGAGAAACACAGGTATATCTTGTTTAGGGTGCGCTATTGTATTGCAGGGCAATGTTCTACTAAAAACCTCCCCCAGGGACTTTAGTGAAAGAAACTTAAAATTAGAAGCTTGAATCATAATTATCTGTAGGAATGTAAAGGTATACTTGAGGATTCGAGATGTGGCGAAGGAAGTGAGATAAGAAAACGAGTATGCTGAAAGCTGGAAACCCTAATGTGAAGTTTAAAATGTGAAACTTTCGAAAGGTACATCCATGGCTGTGATACACAGCTTAGGCCTTATTAAGTAACCCTTGCTTAAGAACTATCTTTTGAAAGAAGCACTTGACACACACTCCAGAAAATTATTGGATGAACTCCCATTTTTCTGTTAAATGATGAGACACACCCAACACCTAGACTAACCTCTGGCAGCTTCTCTTAATCTTTTTGATAGCCGAAAGGCCACAAGGCCCAAGTTCGCGGCCCATCAACATGCTCTGATCTCTTGGTGGGGGGAAAGTTCTGCATATCAGATGACAAGGATGCTCTTCATACCTGGCAGCAGTTGTAGGAAAGACTGTTTCGTGAAGACCCTGCCAGGAGGGAAGCAAACGCCTCAGTGCTCCCATCCCCCAGCAGCTGACCACAACCAGGGCCGTGGAGGGAGCACCGCGTGTCCACGTGCATCCGGCATGTCCTGCTACTCTTCTTACATAAGATTCCCGTGTGGAGCCAGGACAGCTGTGAGCCCCTCTTACCCTCTTAATAATATATGGAAACTAAATTTCCAGGCTGCAGCCTCTCTAGGTTTGGTCATCCCAGCCAGCTGGTACGTGTCAAGCCCGCCCAGCCCAAGCACATCAGTCCTCCCTCTGGTTTGGATCGGGGCTGCTTGAGCTCAGTGCCTCGCCTTCCCTGTCCCAGCCAGCTTGCTCTGGGCTTGGTGCTGGGGCGCGGCCGCTCCATCCTCCCAGCCCTACCCTGCCTTGCCCTGTTGGGTCGCCCAGCCTTCGACCGGGTATCAGGCGAGAGGCGGAGCCGCCCTGCGTGCCCCGCCCCCGCGGTAGAAAGGGTTGGGCGAGTGTTACTTGCGGTCAGGGCTGGGACCTTTTATCTGCTGCTGGAGGAGGTAGGAGGAGGAGACATCGGGGGTGGTCCTGGGCGCCTGGGACACCGTTCCTGAACTATAAATTGAGCACCTGGGATGGGCAGGAGGACGAAGCAGCCACCGCCATCCGCACTCACAGCAGCAGCGCTCTTGGGTAGCCACCTTCTGCAACGCAAACACTGAAAACCAGGGGAGCTATCAGTGCAAGAGGTAGGTATCCCCTCCCTTTGGCTGCCCTGGCTAATATGGTTGTTTTCGCTTAGGATTTGGAAGGGGGAAACGTTAGAGTCCGGGCTGGGTGGGGGGTGTCTTTCTCCCTTTTTTCTCAATGGTCTTCTGCTAGCATTGGAGGAGGTGATACTGCCTGTTCCCAGGGAGCCACCCTGGCGCCTTCTCTGGCCAGTAGTGATTAGGGAGGGAGCATCGAGTGGACAGGGGCCCCGGACACCCTAACCGGGTGGGTAATTTGTTCTTTCCTCTGTGTCTCCCAAGCAGGTCAAGGCTAGACCCAACCACCCACCATCATTGAAAGCCAAAGCTAAGAGCAGCCGCGTATCACGCAGGGCTGGGCTGCAACAGAAACTGGAGTGAAGAGAGGGCGGAGAAGGATCTGGGAATCCCACCACACTAGCTAAAAGCAGGCTCCAGGGATCGGCCTCTGAGAGCGTTTGAAGGCGGCCATCCGTCGCCAGCAGTCTGTCTTGGTGCATCAGCGTCTCAGTGTTTCGGCGCCCGCTCGGCCACCATGATGCAAATCTGCGACACTTACAACCAGAGGCACTCACTCTTTAACGCCATGAATCGCTTCATTGGCGCGGTGAACAACATGGACCAGACGGTGATGGTGCCCAGTCTGCTGCGCGACGTGCCCCTGTCCGAACCGGAGCTAGACAACGAGGTCGGCGTGGAGGTAGGCAGCAGTGGAAGCTGCCTGGAGGAGCGCACGACTCCAGCCCCAAGCCCGGCCAGCGCTAATGGAAGCTTTTTCGCGCCATCCCGGGACATGTACAGCCACTACATGCTGCTCAAGTCCATCCGCAATGATATCGAGTGGGGAGTCCTGCACCAGCCATCGTCCCCGCCGGCCGGGAGCGAGGAGAGTACCTGGAAGTCCAAGGACATTCTAGTGGGCCTGAGCCATTTGGAGAGCACGGAGGCCGGCGAGGAAGATCTGGAGCAGCAGTTCCACTACCACCTGCGCGGGCTGCACACTGTGCTCTCCAAACTCACCCGCAAAGCCAACATCCTCACCAACAGATACAAGCAGGAGATCGGCTTCAGTAATTGGGGCCACTGAGGCGGGGCTATCCTCACTGCCCCAGCACCCTTTCAGGCCGGCTCTCCCACCCCTCTCTTTTCCTCCAAGCTATTTCTTCCTGGTTGCGGGGCGCTAAGGGCACACTGTAAAGTTGGGCTGGGTACGTGGGGGAGGGGGATTGTGTGGAGAAGAGGGCCTCATCGCGAGAGCAGACGAAAGTAGTCGCCAGAGAGGGGGGTTCAAAGACCCCCGGAGGGGGCCTGCTCTCTGTTGGTGGGAAATGGGACTGGGCCAAAGTCCTTCATTCAGCCTGTGCCTTTCTTGGGGTTTCTTTTCTGTTTTTCTTTCCGGAAGAGGAGGGCCTGAGAAAGGGCCATGCCGGGCACGGCTCTGGGTTGCCATACTTGGGAGGGCAGCTTCTCGCTGGGTGCTCATGGGAGGCGGGGCGCAGTCTCCTGCCCGCCCTGCTTTGAGCTGCAAGAGGAGGCCCTGGCGTTGCTAGGATTGCGTCAGTTTTCCTGTTTGCACTATGTCTTTTTGTAACAGTGACCCTGTCTTAAGTATTTCAAATCTCTTTGCTTTGAAACTTTGTCGATTCCGTTGTGATAAGCGCACAAACAGCACTGTTGGTAACCGGTACTACTTTATTAACGATTTTCTGTTACACTGAACAGTAGTCCTGTGGCACCCCATCACTTTTCACGCCACCCCTCCCCCTCCCGTGTGTGTAAACTGGCGGTGCGCCAGCTAGAATAAAGCTTGCCACTAGGCCAGCAAAAATAATAACATTATTATGAGAAAGTGGATTTATCCAAAGTGGAACCAACTGACATTCTATCTGTGTCGTACATAGAATGATGAAGGGTTCCACTGTTGTTATATGTCTTGTTTATTTAAAACTTTTTTTAATCCAGATGTAGACTATATTCTAAAAAATAAAAAGTGTATGTGTTAACTAAACTGGACAAGTGTGTGTGTTGCTCTTTAATCCACCAGTGAATGGTCAAATTATTAAAAAGAAAATTTTTTATTTCTCTGACGTTAAGTATTATTTTTCTCTCTCATATTTTCTGGTAGTGAGTACTCATCCCTACAACTATTTAGTTTTGACAAGCTACTGGTAAAGATTTGTTCCAATTTAGTTCCAAAATAGGATCAAAGATCCGAACAAGAAGTTCATAAATATTCAAAGTATCTGTAAAAATACATATATTTTTATATATTGGTTGAAAAATACATGTATTTTTGGCTAGCTTATCTCAATACTTAGTTGAAACATTATGAAGGCTAAAAACTGACAGCATAAATTTCACTTGACTATAAAAAAGTGAAAAATTAGCAACATCCCCCCAAAAATTCCAGCTATAGCAATGCACTCACCTTGGAGTCCTTTATTTGAAAATCTTGAATGTTAATCATGGGCGATATTTTACTAGATCATCATAATGTAAGTAATGTCCTTGCTCAGTACTTTCCAAGAGTAGTAACGCTCTGTTGAGCATTGTCCAGCTATTCAGTGACGCATTCTGCACTTGTGGACAGCAGATTTGATTAAGGCTGCCCTAAGTCCCTTAGGAATGCTTTTTAAGATAGCATTATGATGCTCTTGGGAAATGATGGGAAAAGTGAAACGCAGCAGTCTGTTTTGTTTGTTTCTTTCATTGTGTTGGGAGACTAAATGACAGATCAATTTCAGTTTTTGCAGGAAGTTACAGAGGCATTCTCTAAATTCATAGGACTTAAATTTAAAATACAACTTTACAGTTTAAAAAAAATCGAGTGAGTGCATTGCAGACAAGGGCAGCTCAAGTCCATTATCAGCTTTTAACAGCAGTGAAAAAAAAGGGGGAAGTCTCTAGACTGGGATGCCTGCCTGTTGCCAGAGAAAGTTAATCGTTAATATAAGAAGATAAGCTAGCCAGCACCAAATGTCAGGTATACCTACACTTGTTTTCTCTTCTTTTAGAAATATCAGAGTTCAAACAAAAAATTTAAAGGCAACTTCAGAAGCAATGAGGGTAGAAAGAAACAGACTTTGGAACCAGAAAATTATGTGTATAAATTTTCTGTTCCTACTTATTGGAGATATTTAATGCTTCTAGCTTGGTGCCACACTTGAAGTCCAGCATAAGACTTAAAATGCTTCCTGGGCTTGCAGTGGGGATTTGATGAGATCGTAAACACAATGTTTGCTATTTGGAAGATTCTTTAAGCACAAGAGAAAATCCCTTTCAGGTTTTTCTCTTGCTCTAAACATTTTTCGTGCCTCCGTTTTCTTTTCCTGATCTTTATTCTTTATGAAAATATGAGGCTTTGGGCAGATGTCTACTACACGGAAGGAAAACTATTATTTTAAGTAACATACAAAACTGATTCATCCATTTCCCTAAAGTCATAAGGGAGAAACTGATTAAAACCAAGTCACACTCTGAGCAAATGATGGCAAGAACTGTATAAGCTGCAAACTGAAACGTGTATTCCGAAAATGCTGATAGAATAATATTATATAGTAAAGTATATGAAACTGGCAAAAAGACTTAACTTTATTTTCTTGTTTTTAAATAATTTCATGTAAGTGTTTTTGTGTAAGTGTGTGTGCATATGTGATATGTGAATATCAACTAACATGAATATAATATGCTGTTAAAGAACACAGAGAATGTTTCCAGGCCCAGTAAACACTATTCCACTGATACTATTTTATTCAACATTAGTCTTGAAATAAAACCAGGATAGATTCTGAACAAGACTCACCTGCTATAGCTACCCTTCATTTTAGAGGCAAAGTAATATGTGACTTCATTTTTGAAGACTGTCTTTGGAAAGTTGAATACAAGGAGTGACACTTGATTCCAAGCTCTCAGCAAAACTACCTACCTCCTAGTGCCAATCTCCAAGGCAGTTTATGATGGAAGGATAAAGCAGAAAGAGATGAACTGGGCAGAAGGGAACAGCCCCGACTAGACTGGCTATCCTCCAGGTATTTACATTTGATAACAATATTCTACAGGAGACCTCACACCTCAACTTTTGAGAAACTGGTTTTGGCCCCAGTTTTCAGCTTTGCTCATGTGGGGAGTTTCACATTTTACATTTATATATTCCTTAGCAGTCTGCCTATTGTATTCCTATTCCTTGTGTCAGAGAGCATGGCACAACAATTGGAATCATCATTCTCTGACCAATCTGGAAACATCTGCAGTGGACAGCTTTCAAAAGTTGAAAGTTTGGGTCATTTGCATATGCCTCACCGCCGTTTTGCTTTTAGTTTTAAACAAAAATCATTCTTAAATGGTGTTTTCTTCCCTCTCTCTCTTTCTCTTCTCAAGCTCTCCCTGGCTTATTTAATATCCCCAGCATTTCTCAAGTGTTCATGCATATATCCAGTTGATTTAGAGCTCAATTTTTATGACATAAACTTTTATAAACAAGTTTATCTTTTTATGGTGTTTTTTGCCCACATTACACCCTTGTATGATATATTTTAAAAGATTTTTAAATAAAATAATGGGAGCAGGAACACTTTCTTTAAAAATTTGGAGGTGAAAATTTTTTTGTTCTTAGCCAATAAAAGCATAGAATAATGTGTTGGTCTTTTAAAATAAAATGCTAGGATTTTCTTTATGTTTGAAAGTTTAGTTTTTGAGTAAGAAGAAAATTCTTTATGCACTGTGATCATTTAGCTTGAAAATTAATTTTTTTAAGATCATGTCCATAAAAAAAAACAATTCAAAGGAATGGAATGATTGTTCTTTATTTGCTCTAAATACTTTGCCTGGGCCTCTGGGTCATGTGGAGTTGTATAAAACACACTGAGAGAGATAGACATCATGATAGTCTATTACCAACAACTGCTCTTTTTTCTGGATTTTATGATAAATTATTGTTTACTTTTAAGGTTGTAATTTAATTACAACATTTCTCCATTCCCTTTCCTCCCTCCAAATCCTTGCATATACCCCTCTCTGCTCTCCTTAGAATTCATGGCCTCTTTTTAAATTAAATTGTTATGCACGCATATGTGTATTTTTATCTACACATATATTCCTAAGTATAACCTGTTGAGTCCATATAATGTCGCTTGTATTATGATTTCAGAACTGCCTGGCACTGGACAACCAACTGATGCTCTTCCTTGGTGAGTACCTCCTCTCCTGCCCCTAGCTTTACTCAGCTGTTTGAAGTTCTGTGTGTAGGGTTGAGGTCTCATGGGCTTGTTCCTGAGCACTTGGGCGCATTTGTTGGTGTCATCTTTGCTCAGATCATGAACAACTTCTTCTTTAACTGGAAGCCAATACCTCCCCTTGCTTCATACAATCATTTCTCTTGCCCTCGATCCAGTACACTAGAGGGACTTGACACTGTCTCCTGCCACTCTCTGTGGAGCAAGCAGAATGCTCAGAATTTATGATACTACTCCTAGACCAGAATCTGGATGCCCTGACTACCAGGATTGCCTATGCATATGACCCTAAGCCCATTGCAGGATCTTCATAAACACCAACCTTGGGTTTTTCTTCCTAGTGTGCTTGGGTTGGTGTTTGCACCCAGGTCTGAGGATTTCAGAGCTATGTGGATGCACACACAGGGCTTTCTACAGGTTTCTATGGTCCTTCTCATTGCAAGGCAGATCGTGATTAGGAAAACAAAGAGGTAACAGTGCAAATTAGGGGCCCCATTTGGTCTTTTGTTCTGCCTTCCTGGCCCTCAGGAAAAAGTGTGAAACCACCAGGAAGGAAATAAGATGAAAACAGCTTGAGTGCCAAGGCTTCTTCAGTTTCAAAATGAAAACTCCGCAACTTTTCTCCCTCTTTCCCATGCTCCTTGGGAATCTCCTTGCTCCATGAAAAAAGATACTTAATCTAGAAAATAACAGATAGGGCAAAGAAAAGTCACCTCCTTACACAGCCATCAGTGCTCCAATATTGTTGAATATAGCAAAGCGATTTTGTAATGACTCAGAGATGTTGTGTCCGATTCTCCAGAGCCCAAAAGACTACCAGGATTTGACACCATTGCAAAACGCATGAGGATCTTTTTATTACAAGACATACCCTGGACTCACACTCTCACTGATGCAGCAGTTGATTGCAGCGAGCCTCATGCTCAGGGAAGGCAAGGTGGGAAGATTCTAGTCCTTCCCAGGGCATCCAAAGCAGGGGAATTCCTGCCTGGCAAGTATCAATTGGTTGAAACACAAAAGGGGATGTTGCATTTTGAACTGGAAAGCCCCCAAACCATTAACTGTCTGGTTTCCCTTGTTTGGCTGTCCTAGGGGGGAGAAGCTATCTTGGCTGGTTTCCCTGTATCTCTAGTGGGCAGGAAAAGAATGCAACAAGGCTGGTTCCTTCCTTCAGGTGGCTGGACATATCTCCACCTGTGTGGCCTTTGTTCAGGCTTCTGCTTTAAACTTTAATTCAATAATCCCCCCCCCAAAAAAAACATATTTTTTTAATTTTTTGATCTCTCATTCTCCCCTTCCCAATATCATTTGAAGACCCAATCATGGGTCTTCCAGATATGACCCCTAGTGTCCTCCAGATTTACCTTTCCACAATGGGATCTGAGTACCATTAACTATATCACTTCCAAGCATTCCTTTATGAATGCCATCAAGCAATTTAAACGATAAAGCCCAAAGATAAAAATCAAAATGAGTAGGGGTCCCATCAGGGTGGATATAGGGGTACTAAAGCAAGGAGAACTATTATACTAGGATTTAAACCAACCTCTGAAATCTTTTCTCTCTAGCATCTCTCTAGGCTTTTTGTCCACTTGCTGCTCCAGCTAAGCAGGTCCCCAAGATAATAGCTAATGTAATGTTGCCCCTTTTGACTTAGCATTTCATCCCATTAGGTAGGATAAAAGATGATGAATCTCTGTCTTCTGTACTTTCTTCAGGCTGACATTGGGGTGGAGATATTTACACTGGGGACCCAGGAAGGCTGAAAGGCTAGTCA